AATCAGAATCAGAAATCATCGATTACTTTTTTTTTTTTGATCTGCAAATTTCACATTTTTTTGCAAACCGCAATAATTCAAGAGGTCCCATCACTAATCAGAAATAATCGGTTTAGAATTTTTATTTTGCGGTTTGCAAAATATGTGGATCAAAAATCGGTGATTTCTGATTTCTAATTTCCGATTTCTTTAACATTGACATATGTATATCGAATAATACAGTAATATAGATCAATCACGAAAGTTCTAGGCAAATTTGCCTGGAAAATGGGTTAATTATTATTCCGGAACTTGCTTTGGATGACAAAGTGTTTTTTGTACAGCTTATAAAACTTATTATAACTGAAAAAAATATATTTAAAGCTTCCAATTGAAATTTCTGATTCTTTCAATAATAAACAAATTAATTTTTTTTCTAGGATCATGTAATAATTCTTATGATTTAATTTTGTGCAACTTTTATATTTTCTTCTTTTATCAGGCTAAAAAAATTCTTTACAACATGATGAATGTGCAAATTATATTCCTACACCCAAACCCGCAATAATTTATTGCGGTTTTCGAAATAGTAGAAATCGGCACAAAAATTTTTTTGGTGTATACCCGTATACTAGTCGTATACTGTGTTTACTCGTATTCTGGCTGCACCTGTAACAATTAGAAGTGTAATTGTTTTGGTAAACAATAATTACGTACGTAAGCATCGATCTTCCATCGAACTAGGTATACGCGTATACACAGTATACGGGTATACGGGTATACACCAAAAAATTTTGCCCTGATTACTACTATTTCAAAACGCGATAATAATGTTTTCCTTGCATTTATATTTATATCGTGCCGTTTTACGTATTGCTAGTATAATATAATATTGATTTAAATTATATATGTACTATATATATATATATGGGTGCCGTCAAGGGAAAACCTACACTCGGGCTTTCAAGTATATTTTGTGTACAGTTGGTTATCTATGTACATCTATCATCGAATATAGATTTACCATAGACGGCACACAGATAACCAATTGTACTGTACAGTACACAAAATTTACTTGAAAGCCCGATTGTAGGTTTTCCCTTGACGGCACCCATATATAAGAACTTGATTTTTTTTTTATTAAAGAGGGTAGAATTAGATTTAGATAGTGGGTATATAGAGAGACAAAATCTAGAACTACAGACTAAAGTATCGTTTGAGGTGTTTAAGAAAAGAATAAGGAAAATTTAGCCAAATAGGGACAAATTGGTCAATAAGGATAATTAGGTCAATTAGGATTATTAATTCAATAAAGTTAATTTTGTCTGTATAGAGCGTTAAGACAGGACCCGAACTATATACGTATAGAGATTACATTAGCTTTAATATAACCTTTTTGAAAATTTTATCCACTTTTTATAGAGCTAATTAATCATATTTTACATATAAACTTTAATATTTAATTAATTTTACCCAATTACCAAATATACCAATTTTTTTTTAATTTCAAAAAAAATTATTTTTTTAAAAATTTCTCTTAAAAATTTTTTCTTTCTCTTTTTTTTATATTGTTATCCAAAATTTAAATGTAACCTATCTAAAATTTATTGATTTTATCCACTTCCAATAACATAATATATAACGTTAAAAGCTTTTGAATGAAATCCGTTCAATTGCATTCCTAGGGTTATCCACTTTTAAATGTAACCTTTTGGTCAATATCCGCTTTACAAATACTGTATACCATTTTTGTAAAAAAGTAATCTTTTTAGCCAAAATTTCAATGTAACCTCCATATATATTGTTGGGGAATTTACAAATAAGTGCCCAAAAGGTAAAATAAATAGTATATAAGTGCCCTATTTTAGAAAATTTTACTATATATCATGATACAGCAAACGAAATTTAATGGTTTGGATACCGTCTCGTCAAGACAGATCGGATGGTACCAAAATTGCTAAATTTAGATTACTGGATTACGAGTTATTCAACATTTTCTAAAATCTGGTTAAATTGTGATATCTCGTTATCCAGCAATTTAAATTAGCAATTTTAGTACCATTCGATCCGTCTTGACGAGACGATTCGAATGGTATTCAAACCATTAAATTTCGTTCACTGTATCATGTATAGTAAACTTTTCTAAAATAGGGCACTTATTTGTAAATTCCCCTATATTGTTTGGAGTTGTTAAGACAATGTAGACAACCAGGTCCATCAACACAGACAAATTTCGCTTCAACCTTTATTATAATAGCCAAAGCTACACGGAGCCTGGCCCGTTGCTATTGTTTCTCCAGAATCAGGTGTAACACGAAGAACAACATTTTAACTATAAAACTGCTTTTTGCACTAACAAAAAGTTTTCCTTGCAAAGTTTGGTACTAAAAGCTCTTTCTTTTTCTTCAAAATTAGGATAAAAATTTGAATATTCGCGCACAGATGCGCGTTAGAACGCGTCTATACGGTACGACTTTCGAATTTTTGTTACTGTTGTGACAACTGTTATGTCACTTACTCCATACACTAATTCTGATTAAATTGATTCGTCATATAACGTGTACAAGTCACAACCTAACGATTGATATAAATTTCGCATATTGGTCTTCTAGAGAGCTGGTTTGTTTGTAGAGGGTCCCAATGAATAACATTACAGAGAATGTAGGGGGTAGTTTTTGTTTCTTTTGCTAACACAATAAACGTCTCAAAAAATAATGAACACAGTTATGACTACGTTTTTTTATCCTTTTTTTATTTATTATTATTATTATTATTATTATTATTATTATTAGTTATGTTTGACGACATTAACGTGATAGATAAATATTTCGGCTGAAGAACGACAAAATAGAATATCCAAGGTTTTTTAGGCAAATGTGAGGTGAGTTCATTCGAATGAAAAATTGAAAGGTATTTCCTGTTTCTTCAGAACATTATCGATTCGAAAACAGGATATAAATATAATAAAGTACATGTTTTACTAGATCGTTATAAAAAGGCAAGTATATTAGTGGCGTGGTTGGGACCTGCGGGGTCACTTCATTCAAGTCTGCGAGATGAGCTACAAAACTAATGCGGGGCACGGGAACCTGTGGGTTCCTACTTAGTGTTTAAGTCTGCGGGATGACCCGTTGTTGGCACTACCAGTGTATCAATAGACTGCGAGTCGTGTTGATATCAAGTCTGCAGGACAGCCCGGTGGATTAGCCGGTGAAGATTCAGAAACTTCATTTGTGCTTGTTCACTTATAAAGCCTGATTATAAAGAAGCCAGAAAATGGCAAGAGGAACATCGTAAACATAAATCAGTTCACGGTACTTCGATTAATTTGTACGATCCAACGTTTTCTGGGAACTCGTTGAATCCTCAGACAGTCAATAGTGATAAGATAATCAGATGGTCATTTTTCTTTATTACCTATCATTTATACATTATTTCATTTATGAGGATGAACTTTTTAAAAGAAAATTCAACAAAAAAGTGTCAGACTATAGTTCAACTGAGACTGATAATAGCGAAGTAGATATTGTGATCTTATTTATTTTTCTATTCAAATTAATCATATCGGCAGATTTGCGGAATTGGTCCTGAATTGATCCTAAATTATATCCTCAAAGTTATCCGCCAAATTTTGTAGCAAACAAATATACGTACATATAAAGATAATTTAAGGAGTAAATAGATACAATGACATTGTAATTGTATCTATTTACTCCTTAATTTATCTTTCTATGTACGCTTGTTTGCTATATACAAACTTTGGGTTCACTTTGCAGATAACTTTGAGGATACAATTGAGAATCGATTCAAGACCAATTCTGCAAATCCGCTGATATGCTATATCATTTTATAAGTACTTTCCCTCCGACTCTTTTTCTTCAAATCATAAAAGTAAAAAGGTAAATAACATTATCGCGGTTTTCGAAATGGTAGAAATGGGTACAAAAAAAAAATTTCTCTAGTATACCTGTATACTATATACTGGATTACCTTAACACGTTAATTTAAGATTACATACATACATACATACGTACTTATTGTTTGAAACAATAAGTAAATCAAGCATCGATCTTCCTAAGCTAAGGTAATCTGGTATACGAGTATATTCGAAAAATTTTTTTTTACCATTTCAACCATTTTGAAAATGCCTATAAATTTGACAAAGAAAAACGATGAGCGGTTGCCGTAATAGGTTCGGTGAAGTTGGAAGGTTGCAACTATAGATGCTGGTGAAATAATTTCACCACTATTGATGAAATTAATTTCACCAGCATCTATAGTTGCAACCTTTTATTCTAAAGTTGTAAATTTTTGCCGTAATGGTCGTAATTGGTATAATGGTTGTAATAAGTATAATGGCTGTAATAGACGTAATATGTCTGGTTAAATCGAGGCAAGCAAGATTAATTGCTTATAAACAAAGATAATAGCTACAATCTGATCAAATTATTTATAACGATAAGGCATTGAAAGAGAAGTCGAATTAAAAGTATAAACATAAGGCATTATTTTACTTTTCAAAAATTTGCAGGTGTGGTGATGCCTATAGAATTACTACACTTAGTAATTATTGTCAAAATTGGAGTTAAAAGAAAGAATGAATATAAAGCATTCACATATTATCAAAAATCTGCAAATATAAGCAATGCTTACTACAAACTGATCAAGATTAATAAGAAATCTCAAATTCTGTTTATAATCAAGGTTCTTTCTGATTACATACTATATCCTTATATTACTGTAATATAGCAGTAAATGTAGGGTTGCTGGTGCAGGTGGCGTCGCCACTGGTGCAATGCTTTAAACTTATATGCTAACTTAATGGTGCACCACTTGCATAATTCGAATATCACATTTAAGTTTTTGATTTGTACTTTAATAATTCGATTGTTATCATTATAATTATATCGAACACTTATAATTGTTACAGTAATTACAATCTATTAGCATGTCCGTAATCTGTGACAGGTTAAGCCTGACTATATTTCCAGCATAAGACTTGACTATTAAAAAAAAATACCTGTAATTATAATTTAAAAACTTACGTATAAATTCAAAAGTTGCCTTTTGATATTAACCAACCAAATATTTATATAAAAAAATAAGAACTTTTAATTTTAAAATTAAAATAACGAATACCATTTAAATATTCCTCTAGTATATTATATATGTCATTTCTTTGACCATGCTAATTGTTCAACTTATTCTTACTTAAAATGTTTTTTTTTACTTAACTCGAATGAAGATAAAGAGCCAAATTCTCATTATTTATTTGTGAGCTCATTTTTTTCATAAAGAAAAATATTTGGATTTTAAATTTTGTTACATTATACTGATCCTGATCTTTAAATTTATCTAATACGGTTCGTAATGTTGGCTAATATTTTGACAGTTTGAATTAATAACTAAAAAATGAAGTGATGCCGTAAATATCGTTCTCATCCATTTTCTTAATTCTTTTTTTTAAAAATATATTCAAAATATTTTTTATGAACTTTATTAAAAAAATTGGATTGGTTCTCTTTTAAGTCATATTATAGGTCGATAAGGTTATTTAAATTTTAATTTATACGCTGTACTTTACTTATGTTAGATAAAAAAAATATTTTAATTTATAAATCGCAAAAAAATAAAGTATAGCCAAATATGATCAAATCGTTTTTTATATATTCAACTTTAACTTCGTAATAATGAGCCTTTTCAAATCACTAAATACAATAGCTTTTTTATCATGATTTAAGGCATAGTCGGACGGTGATTGAAATCAGTGGCTTAACCTGTCACAG